ACAAACAAACAAACAAACCTTAATAATACAAAAGCTGTAGACTTGCCCAAGCCAAAACTTAAGCTTGCATCGTGTCACCTTTATATAATATGTGTACATTTACCATTCATTATCTTACAGACAGAGGATTGCTTATTGTTCTACACATAGAGCTTTACAAAGTTTTCTGTTTCTTTCTTCTTTTTACCACGTATAACTGTTAATCAGATGGGTGACTAATGTATTGTGGAAACTCAGGTATTCCTTTCCATAGTAGTTCTCGTGACTTGCACCTATTCATCGCTACTAATTTAGATAAATGGTTCAAGGAAAACTGCACACGTAATATGCAATATCAACCAACAACTTTGAACTGGACGTCTTAAATTTGAACACGTAGCACGATTGTCAGATTAGAAAAAACGTACTTAGACGTGTATACTGGATCTAAGGACGTAGATTAGTTTGCATACATAAATGAAGACAGAACAGTCAGATCAGAAAAAGCTCACTAAGACGTACGTACAGAATCTGAGAGCGTATATGAGTTTGTGTATATATATATTTGAACAGGAAAACAGAGTATTGATATCAAAAAGACTTACTTGGGCGTATCTACTGAGCCTAGGGACATAGATTAATTTGTGTATTTAAATAATGATGATTACATTCGATGTGTTATTCGAGAATGGCACGAGCTTATCTAGAATGCATATTACAGACTATAAATATATAGAAATAGATTATTATTTTATAAAAATAAATGTTTTTTTTTAATTTTTGGCTAACTTTTAAATATAAGGGTGTATGTTTAAATTATGACATCAATATTATACAGAAAACTCGTAAGCTTTCCTATTACTTGTTTTAGGATTGAGTTGAGTTTTACTTCGTTTGTGTTTGCGAGTACTTATAAATTATTCCTAAATTTTAAGTGAATAAATGCAGCAAATACGTAATACAAATATGGAATTGCACAAATCCTGTTATTATTAAGCTTCGTGGCCCGGCATGGCCAGGTGGTTAGGGCGCTCGACTCGTAATCCCCATTCCACCCACCGCCAACTTTTGGGCTACTCTTTTACCAACGAATAGTGGGATTGACCGTCACATTATAACGCCCCCACGGCTGAAAGGGCGAGCATGTTTGGTGGGTAATAACTAGCTGCCTTCCCTCTAGTCTTACACTGCTAAATTAGGGACGGCTAGCGCAGATAGCCCTCGTGTAGCTTTGCGCGAAATTTAAAACAAACTTCTATATTTTTTCATCGATTTTAATAAAGTAATTACTTAATAAATAGTATCGTGCTATTAGTATATTATTGAATATTCTACTATAATAAACAATTTTTTTTTGCTTTACTTTGAATACAATTCAATTCAACACATTTGAAGGGCATATTTTATCAAATTAGATTAAACCAATGTTGCAGTTACTGTAATTAGCTCATGAGCTAAGGTAAAGCACAATATACTGATATATATATATATATATATATATATGCTTCCTTTTTCTGTCCTATAGTCTGTGATTATGCTAGTATTCCGTGAAGAAAAAACACCAGAAGACGAGATTAAAGCGTGGCAGTTCTGGCATGGACGGCAACATAGTATTAAACAGCGGATATTAGACGCAGGTTTGTTGTTCGTTTTCTTTATTTCACTCTAAATTTTAAATATAAAGTCATAGAAGCGATACACCAAGTTATCACATTTGTTACTATTTTCTTTTCCGATCTGAAGTAACTCATTCAACTCAGTTTCACACAGCGTGTTTCTATGCAACATAAACACGACAATAAAATCTTAAAGATAAAATAACAAATATTTATTTTTGTAATTAAACAATTCAGGAATTGATATACACACAACACTTCATTATCTATAAGCTATACCGCTTATAAAGAATTGTGCTAACTTTTTCTTTGTAAATTAATAATCTTTACAGATACAAAAAACAGTTCCGGAATTATTGGACAAATTGAGGAGATTACACATAATGCCATAGCCTTTTATTGGAATCCTCTTGAAAGTTCTGCAAAGGTAATTAACTAATATTTTGTATTCTCTGAAAAACTAATGCCTTAAATTCTTGTTCGCGACAACTTATGAATTAAATGAAGATATTTTTTTATTCTGATTATAGCTTCTTCGATTTATTAAAAAATATATAAGTTTTGTCGGATTTAAAACATGCCATTTTTATCCGATTCTTTGGAAAATAATTAAAGTTATGATGGATTTAATGTGAGAGAAAACAAACAATTTTACGGATTTCAATTGGATGACGAGGAACTTAATTTTCAGAAAATATAAGTTTGGAAACGGCTTGAGTGGGTAATGAAGAAAACTTTATTATCAGTGTACAACGTTTGGATAAGATTATGCCATCATCAGGTTGTACACTTATAATAAGATTTTCTTCATTACCCATTCAAGCCGTCTGCAAACTTTTAATTTTACGGATATTCTGACAAGACCTTTAAGAAGAGCTCAATTTTTTAACAATTTTTATCCCTAATATTAAATTTATAAGTACAATGAATAGATAAAATTTGTTCTCTGATAATAATTTTTTGCTCTTATTATTTTAAAGATTTTGCCGAATATCTTATCATTATGGAATTTTTCGTAAAGTAACATGCCTTTAGCAAACGCACAAAAATAGCAAAAGTTATATCGAGTTCTTAGCCTCTTATAAATGTAGCATATTTGAAAAGTTTCACGTCGTGTTAATGTTTGTAAGAAATAGTTGCGAGACTTGATGTAAACATATTCGTCATTCTTAACTTGTAGGTGAACGTAGCAGGGCAGTGCCTTAGTACAGATTTCAGTAGCCAGAAGGGAGTGAAAGTAAGTGACTGACTAAAATTACTCGTTAGTTTTAAGGGGTATTTTGAAAAATTATTAAAATTCGTTTTATTGTTTTGAATATTCAAAACTATTATCAATATTGATTTATATCATGAATTAGTCAGGTCTTGACTAATAAACCAGGAAACACTCAAAAGATAATACTTTTATTAAGCCCAAAGCTACACAAAGGGCTATCTGTGCTCTGCCCAACACGGGTATCGAAACCTGGGTTCTAGCGATATAACTCCGCAGACATACCGCTGTGCCACTGGGGAATACTTTTATTAGTGGATAAATTTTTATTTTTTTTATTAAAATTGCAATTGTTTTGTTCACAATGTAATTTTATTCCTCCTCTGTGTGTGTGTGTGTGTGATGCGGTTTTAACTTAATTTTTTGTTCAAGAAAGAAATGCTACTTCTACACGTTCACATACACAGAAATGCTTGTTTATTATTAAGCACTAAACTCACAGTGAATCTGAGGGATTATAGCGCTAAAATCTGAGGTTCAACCTCCATGATGGGCACAGCACAGATGACAGTGCAGATTTGCGCTTAAAAACAAACAAAAAATATGTGATAGAGTGTACATGCGTATCTGAAACCCATGTTTTACAGTTTGAAAAATCTGCTATAAGCTAAGCTAATGATGTCCAAAGTTCTGAGATAGTACACTGGTTTTCGAACCCCTATTAACTATCCAGTTCTCCACTTCGTAAAAGTTTCAAACATGTTAACCTAAACTTGCTCATTAGAAACTTAGTTTTAAGTCTTGCAGAATAATTCATGTTCAAATTTTATCTGAAGCATTCTATAAGCGAATGAAGAATTTAATATTTAAGTGGTCACATAGTCGTTTAAACAATAATTTTATTTTGATGACGAGGAACCCACTAAATTATTAAAGTTTGGAGACGGCTTGAATGGGTATTGAAAGAAACTTTATTACAAGTGTACAACGTTTCGACAAGCTTATGTTCTGTTTAATGTAATAAACGTTGTACGCTTGTAATAAGAAAATATTATTGGTATGATATAAACAATTATTTCGTATTCTCGATTTATTTGTGTACAAATAGTATTTGGGCAACAATCCTATTGAAAAACCAACTGACAAAAAAAAAATGCCCACGGTGGCACAGCTGACTTACAACGCTAGAAATGTGGTTTCGATACCCGTGGTGGGCAGAGCACAGATAGCCCATTGTGTAGCTTTGTGCTTAACTACAAACAAAACACAAAACCAACTTAAAATGTAAAATGGTAAATCATTATCTACATGTTAAAAGTTACAAAAGATGAAGCTTAAACTGTAACTAAACATTTACAAAATTTTTTGTCCCCGATGGCCCAACGGTAATTTTGAGGGCTAATAACGCTAAAAAGTGGGTTTCGATACACGCGGAGGGCAGAATCCAAATAGCCCATTGAGTAGCTTTGTACTTAAAAACAAACAAACAAAAGCAGTGTATTTATCGAACCATGTAAATTTGATATTGTGATTGGTTGTAGTCCTGCATATTCGCTTGCCTTTTGTTGTAAGATTGATGTTATGCTCTTTTGTTAAATGAAGTTTATTCTATGTTTTGCTTCAGGGTCTCCCGTTGCACATACAGATCGATACGTTCGATGACTGCAGAGAGGGGATTAACCCTATTCATCGGGGGTATTGTCAGATAAAAGTTTTCTGTGATAAGGTAAGTCTTCATTAAACTATACTTTCACTTATTGTTATAGCTGACCAGAAACTATCGTAAATAAATAAACACCTAGGTGGTAGTTTTATAGCTCGCTCAAATGTTGCTGCATTAATCTTTAATAATGTTTGTAGTGCTCGAGAGTTAAAGAACGTATATTATCATCTAAATTTTCCCCAACATTTGGGTATACTATATATTAAAATTTGGGGATATTAAAACATATGTTTCACAAACATTTGAGTATATTGTAGACAGAAATTGTCAGAACATTTGGATATTTGTATCTAGAAGTTGAAACATCATTCGTATTTTCTGTGTCTAGGAGTTCAAAAAAATATTTAGGTACTCCGTATTCACAAGTTTCAATTCAAAAAAACAAATAGGTATACAGTATCCAGAAGTACCAAAACATTTGTGTACACTATTTACAGGCCCCCCAGTGGCACAGCGGCATGTCTGCGGACATACAACACTAGAAACCGGGTTTCGATACACGTGGTGGCCCATTGTGTAGCTTTGTGCTTAATTTCAAACAAGCAAACTGTTTACAGAGGTTCCAACATTTGTTAGGTTTACATAAATAAGCTCCAAATTCGAAGAGCTGATATTAAGAGTTATGTTGTTACTTTTGTGAACATTTAATAAAATCAATTACAGTGTTGAAGGTTGTTTACGCTTCACAAAAAGGCTACGAACCGCAGAAGTCGTATTTAATCGAAAAAAGGACACTGAAGATTTGTAGAGACAAATAAAACGTTAAAAAGATGAGATGCCATAATTATTCCATGTTTTTTAATCCCAGGTCGTGCAACGTTTAACAGAGTAAAATATGTAACTACACTATTAAGACAGCACAGTTTTAAAATTATTTCAAATTCAACGTTTCTTTTCTTCATTCAGCAATTTAGCAATTCCTCATAAAATATGTTTTCTGTCAAATACATGTATAATATTAGTATTTCATTATCGTAATTACTTTATCCCTCTTTATTTTTCTTCTCTCTTTTTCGAACTTTTGACACTTTTATTTTCTGGCGAGATTTGAAGATAATTTGATTTTGTACTTTGCTTTATAATGTTTTCAAAAGTAGTTTTCCTGAAGATATTGTTTGCATCTAAGGACTCATAGCTTGTTTAAGTTGTTACACTATTGTTAGCTCATAATGTTCCTATTCACACATGCTACAATTGCCTCCGCACAAGACAAGTTTAAAGCTTTCATTGTATTCAGTATACTGCTCTTTTATTTCACTCTTTAAACAGGCGAAAAGTCATCCAACTATTAAACATCATGAGTTGTAAAGAAGTAAAAAGACCAAATATTATTTTACGAACCTAAGCTGAATAGCTAACTATTTGCATGTATAATCGTCATATGCCTCATTTGCATAAACATTGACTAAAGGAGGTGATTGGTTCTGCCGTATCATAGCTATGATATCACGAACTATGGTTACCATTTAATCGCAATTAAGATAATTTTATTGAAATCATTTTCTTTTGAAAACAAATTAATATTTATAACGTTACTTACAAAACCTTTACCTGAAAAAGGACCACAGTTAGGTCCCGTTAACAATAGAGAAATGCTTTATTTAGATTTCTCAAATAGAAAACTCATCTTTCATAGAGCATATAATTATCTTAAAACAAGCTGGAGTACCCGTTATGTAAATTCATGATTAGTGAAGGATCTTAGAACATGAAAATGGCTTCCCATATATTCAATTGTAAAAAGCGTCAAATTCAAAACTGAAAATTTGTATGTACCCCCCGCATGTAGTTTAAGAATAGTAGTGATTCATTCAATTTTGTGTTATTTACGCATAAAGCCTAGCTAAGAATCGTTGTTTTTGAAAAATGTAGTTGTTTCTTTGGAAATACGTAAACACGTTTTTGTTTGTTTGTATACTGTACTGTTCAGCCGTGATTCAGACATGTGCGAAGAATTGGGTAAGAGTTACCCAATTTTCTGTTCTTGCCCGAAAAAAAATCACAGTGAGTATGACTGTATTAAAGTAGTGGAGAAGCTGGAGGGAGTAAACGTTGCCCCGAGGTTTTATGAATAAAGCCATGGTTATGAGAAACACGAGGCTGTTCGTCAGAAAACATCGTGTTTCCGCCCCTCTGTCTCCTTAATTGCTGTGTCGGTTGCATAAACATATAATTAGAACAGTTTGTATTAGACTAATAGTTGAACATTTATATGTAACCGACTTTTATTTTCTTCTGGAATGTAAAATTGATCCTTCAGAGAGCATTAGCATGTCTGGAACACCATTACATTTTGCTTATGCCATGAGCTAGGCTCCTCCTTCCACAGCGTTTGAAAATTGCCAATTATGCATATACCATTAACCAGTCCGAGTAATAGGCATTTTTATAAACTAAAGTACTGAATATTTATTACAATATTTCGTTAAAAAACTATTGTATTTGCTCTGTATGTAGAGAGTATTAAAAACTTGAAATTTTAGTTTACTTTGAGTTCCTCGAATATTTCAAGTATGTGAGTGATGTTTTTAGCTCGAAAGTATATGAGAAGTCTGTAAGTACCAGAAAGAGTTCTAAAAGCGGAAGTACTAATATGTCTTTCTTCGTTCTTGTAAACTAGCAGATGGAGCACCCTACCAACCATTGCCACCATACACAGAACGCACCTTGTGTAATCCGTGTATCAGTTCAGTGTTAATGCTCGTTTACTTTTACACAATAGTAGTAAAACAGAGGAGTATTTGCCATATACATTTTATTAGGTCCTGAACTCTTCCTTAATGACAAAGAGACATTGGAACTTGCGATTGTAAAGGACTTGACCTGGTCATTCCAGCCTTGTTACTTTTCACCGCTATAAAGTACCAACCCTCCTCTTTTTTAATAGCAATTAATTTTTTACACCTTACTTTACGTACATTAGCCTGAAATGCTCGCAGGGCTTCACTCTACCTGAATCATTCCAATCTCTACACACCACGGTGGGCCACTAGGGGGCGTTTTACAAATATTAACTGATATTACTGATTTATCCATCAAGCCAAAGTTAATATACGTATACTATATACATTTTCAGAGGGATGACATGTTTGTGGAACAGTAAATTGTATACAATAATTCTACTAGAATTATTTTTTATATTTATATAACAACATTAGAAGTACACGAAAGGTTTACATAAAAATCCCCTAGTGAGATCTTTACTAAAACTGATTAGGTAATCAAACTTACAGCCATATCACAATGGGTGACTATACTTATAAGTTTGTTTGTTTTGAATTTCGCGCAAAGCAACACGAGGGCTATCTGCGCTAGCCGTCCCTAATTTAGCAGGGAAGGCAGCTAGTCATCACTACCCACCGCCAACTCTTTTACCAACGAATAGTGGGATTGACCGTCACATTGTAACGCCCCCACGGCTGAAAGGGCGAGCATGTTTGGTGTGACGGGGATTCGAACCCGCGACCCTCAGATTGCGAGTCGAGTGCCTTAACCACCTGGCCATGCCGAGCCCTACTCGGGTAGACATTCAAAAATTCAGTCAGGTTTTTATGGGTGTTACTTTTTCAGTCAGTTATAAAAGTAATGTTTATTTTCCTTTTTTAGGATTTACTACATTTATTTAGAACGTTCGCACGCAGTGAGATTTTAATCCAGAAATACAAAATTATTTTAAAAAAGATATAATTATAAAGATACAAGTATAGACGGCTTGGGCCGTCAAGAAAATTCCCGGTGGGCCAGAGGTTCATCAAAAAACAGATTGTTAATTTATTAACAATATCTAAGTAGGTGGTTAATGGCTTTGTAAATTTTTTAACACTATCTAATTGGATTGCCCAGTTTCCCATTAATGGATCTGTGAATTTTTTAAAACTATCTAATTGGGGTGCCCAATTTCCCGTTAATGGCTTTGTGAATTTTTAACACTACTTAAATGGGGTGTCTAATTTTCTGTTAATGACTTTGTGAATTTTTAAAACTATTTAAATGGGGTGCCCAATTTTCTGTTAATGGCTTTGTTAATTTTTTAAAAACTTTAAATAGGGTGCCTAATTTCCTGTTAATTGCTGATGAGTGATAAACAGGTAATTACATTACCTTTTAAAAATATCTTTGTGTGAACCAGTTTCAGTTTATGTAATTTTATGATCATACAGGTCTATACTATACTAATATGGGTAATAAACGTTTCATACAGGTCTATACTATACTAATATGGGTAATAAACGTTTCATACAGGTCTATACTTTACTAATATGGGTAATAAACGTCTCATACAGGTCTATACTATACTAATATGGGTAATAAACGTTTCATACAGGTCTATACTTTACTAATATGGGTAATAAACGTTACCAACCTGGATTGTAAATGCAAACTTTTGCACTATGTATTTTTGTTTCATTTATGAACTGTATGAATAGCACTAGCAGTGGTACATATTACAGGTTATGCAGTATTAAAGGAATTCCTCTTCCCAACCTTATTGGAGCGGCGTTATAAAGATAATTTTCTCAAGCTGTTACTAATCTCCAATCTGTCCCTGAGTATGAGTAAAACAACTCAAAATTGTATGTGTATGATAATGAAAAATAAGTGTAGTTGCTAGGCGTCGCAAATGAAATGCGACTTTAGGTTTAAAATACACATAACCTTTTATAATGTAAATATTTTCCACTGACGTACTAAAACTTTCCTCGAAGCATGTTTTAGACTATGACGCACACTCCACTTCAAACTGAATTGTCTGTAATATTGAAAACAACGATCAAGGAAGAATACACCTTTTTATAAGTATCGAACAAAAGAATCGCACGCAAGAAGAAATTACTACGTGTGCCATCTGTCGGTTGATTGATGATATAAAAATTGCTCTGATGACATCAGGAAAGTTTCAGTTTGTTTGTAATTAAGCACAAAGCTACACAATGGGTTATCTGTACTCTACCCACCACGGGTATCGAAACCTGGATTCTAGCGTCGTAAGTCCGCAGACATACCGATGTGCTACTGGGGGCTGATCAGGAAAGAGAAATATTGCTGTAATACATGTGTTTAATTCATAAATATATAGTATTAGTATTATATCATACGGAATACTTTTTTACCTTAAAATTCTTGTCGGAAAAACATTTGGCAGTTTTTTATTCTGCGTTTTGAATTGGATTTTAACGCTTACGAGAATGTGAATCTTTAACATATTTAGTCATGGTTTCCACTTCCACTTAAATAAAAGTTAAAAGGTTTGAAACAACATGCCAGACTTTTTTCTGCTTTCGTGCTTATTACTAGGGTTTATGTATGAGCTAACGATAGCCCAAATTACTGAGATTATATATTATGATGAAATAATCTTCTGTCAAAAAAAAAACAAAAACAACAAAACATGCACACTTCTAAAATAGTGTTTTAAATTTTTGTTTATTGTCATGGTAACGGTAAAAATCGATTCTACTTAATTCTCTAACTTTTTTTTTTTACATTACTATGGTTAGTTGTTTCAACGTATATAGAAGTATGTAAACTGTGACTGTTTAGTAAATACCGCATGAAGTTTTGATATGGCCAAATCCGTTCCGCATTGCCCTAACAAATTACTTTAATCAGACGGTTAATTGAAGTCAATAAAAATATAAACGAAATACCTTTAGAATACGCAAATTAACTATGGTACAAAAATCCTTAGTATACGCTTGCCACATTTTTGCTACGGTCAGTCTAGCATCGTGATTATTAATTCGTTATGAGCCACTAGTTCGTCTAGTATTTTTAATCTTGCCAGTCTTGCTTTTGACTGCTAGATGATAGCAAATTTGAAGTTGTTTTCAAAGAGCAAGTCTTGCAAGCTGTTAAATGACCTTATTTCACAGTGACCACAGATACACTAATATAATTTTTCGTTCAAATATGTTTTAGTTTTGTTCCTACCGTAATATGTAAGTTCACATACGGGGCGAGCTTCTTTCATTAGCATGAAAGAAAAAAAGAGAGAGAGGGAGATCAACAACGAAATCTTTACGTGTTTATTGTAAAAGTTGTAGTGTAAAATTTTATGTTTCAACTGAAGCGTTTGTTATGGAAGATAATACTCACTGAGAAACGAAATTGGTTATTAAATTTTAGTTAAGTTAAAAATTAGCTAAATGTATTTTTGCAAAGTGTAAATTTTAGACAAAAAAATAATGTGTATTCTTTTGAAATTAGTACATTTACTGATTTTATTCAAATATGTTTATTTTGTGTGATGGTTTTGACGGAATTAGCGATAAACTGAGAATGTAGACTTTTGCCAAGCAAATGAAAAC